GCTCTCTAACATAACAACAAAGCACATGGCAGTGATCTACTCAAGATGCTTGACAAAAGATGAACGCTGAGCTATGGCTAAATCACACAAGTGCAGGTTCAAACCAGCATGGCAAAAGTGCAAAAGATATCAGCATCACAGACTTAGTGAAAAAACTAACATGTCAGGAATTAACATCAGGAAGCAATGTTTAGAGCAAGATAACAACATTCTACAGGAACAAAACATAACAAAAAAAGGGCATGGCATGAATCTACTCAAAGTATATAACAAAAGTCCCTTACTGACCATAAGCCAAAAAGGATCAGAATATATGATGGCACCCATGTAAACATAGCAAGTTTCGTTAACAGATTCAGACTTAGCAAAAAACTGGACATGGCAAAAACAGAATTATGAAGGCCTCTTTGCGAGCTCGATGCACTCACCACAAGGCATTGCATGATAAAATAAGCATACTAACAGCAAGAATACATGATCAAGAAGCTAACCATGGCAAGAACAATCTCATAGCATGCATGGATCAACTACAACAACCTTGGCAAATTTGATTAACACGTAAACAATCTGCCAGGAACATTTTATAGCAAAAGTAGAGCAAGATTGAGTCATGCTAGGGCACTCCATAAATGCAAACAGTGACATGGATTGATAGAGCATAACCATATGTCAAAATCATCCTTACTGAACATACTCAAAAGAAGCATGGATCTCTCTGTAGCAACAAGAACACATGGCATAAAAATAACAGTAGAGCAATGACTTTGTGAAATTCGAAGTCTGTGAAATCAGCAATATGACGAGAGCTACTTTGCATGCATTTGCTAGCACCACATTGATCACAAAAATACATGGAATACACCCCTGTAAAGATGGCATGGCATAGCCCAAAACACATGTAGATCTCATGCTCATATGTAGCACACAATAAATGTGGCAAAATGACATATGCTCATAATCTGCTAAGAATCAGCACCTAACATTTTATAGCACTCTTGCATCAACAATTTGAGCATCAAGATGGACTCAAACAAGCATGGCACAATGGAACAAAATGAAGAGCACAACATGATGAACATTTCGATATATGGCATGCACAAAACGGAGCTACGGATGAGGAGTTATGGCATGATGAATAGTGCATGAAAATGCAAAATAAAATGACTTAATGGAAAAAATGAGGTCAACCTCCTCGCGAAACGGATCTGGATCTGGGATCGGGCGGCGCCGGGCTCGAGGTTCACCGGAGATCTGGCCGGGGTTGGAGGAGTTGGACGCCAGAGTTGGAGGAGGGAGACGCCTGGAGGAGGACGGGGCGGCGCCGGAGCTGGGTGGCGCCGGCGATGGACTTCGGTGGAGGCTCGGTCTCCGCGACGGCGAGCGGCGAGGCTCAGCAGGAGGCGGCAAGGCGGAGGGCCAGCAAGCAGCGGCGCGGTCCGGCGAGGAGGCGGGAGGCGGCGACCGGACGGGCGGCGGAGCCGAGCGCGGCTCGGGCGCGGGCAACCGCGAGCGGGCGGCAGCGGAACAGGCCGGCCGGGTCCCGCATGGGCCCGGCGGGCCGCGACGGCATGGAGGTGACAAGTGGCGTGCCTTGATTGGCCGCGGGCGGCGGCGGATCCTGTCCGGCGAGGCCGGACGTGTCCGGTGGCGGCGAGGGGAGGATTTTTAGGGTTTGGACTGCGAATTTTAGAGGGGGGTGTTTATATAGGTAGAAGGAGTTAGGAAAGTCCAGACGGGGTGCGGTTTTCGACCGCGAGATCGTGATCGAACGGCCGAGAGGATGGAGGGGGTTTGGACGGGTTATTGGTCCATTTTGGAGGGGTGTTGGGCTGCAACACACACGAGGCCTTTATGGTTCCCCGGTTAACCGACGGAGTACCCAAACGGACTCCAAATGGCACGAAACTTGACAGGCGGTCTATTGATGGTGTACCAAGGACGCTTGGCAAATCTCGGTCCATTCCGAGAAAGTTTAGCACCCACTCACGAAAAGAGGCAAAAGGGGCGCCGGAGGACATAGGAGTGTCGGGTTGCAAAACGGACAACGAGGAAAAAGTTCGGATGCATGAGACGAACACGTATGCAAATGCGATGCACATGATGACATGATATGATATGCATGACATGAGCAAGATGCAAACGAAGACAAAAACCCAACCACGAATCTCATAACTTAGTGCTGAAAATGGCAAGAGTTGGAGTACAAATATGGTAAGTTACATCCGGGGCATTACATGGTGGGCCCACAAGCTCACATGGCGTGCCCTAGGGGGCGTCACCTGAGCTTATGGCTCACTAGCAGGGCCCCTCCTGGTGATTCATCTTCTAGTATTTTTTATTAATTTCAAAATAAATCTCCATAAATTTTTAGGTCATTTAGAACTCCGGAGAATAGCCATCTCTAGTGTAGCTCCTTTTAGGTCCAGAATTTCGGTTGCCGACAATTTCCCTCTTCATATAGAACTTGCAAAATAAGAGAGAGAAAATCATTAGAATTTCCTGATGAAGTGAAATATTAACGCAATACATCATAAATAACAAAAGAAAAACATGATGCAAAATGGATGTGTCAACCCACAAGGGCCCCACAAGCCAGGGGAGCACGCCCTAAGGGGTAGGGTGTGCCACTCTGATTTGTGGGCGCCTCGTAGCTCTTTTTGCCCTAATTCTTCGCCTATAAAATCCATATATTCAGAAACCCTCGAAGCGAGACCTGAAACAATTTTATCACCACCGCAAGCCTCTGTTTTAAAGCGATCTCATTTGGAGGCATGTTCTATCACACTGTCGGAGGGGGAATCATTAGGGATGCCATTTTCATCAACCTTGCCGCCTCTGTGATGATGTGTGAGTAGTTCCTTTAGGACCCACAGAGCCATAGTAGTACCTAGATCTATTTCCATCCCTCTCACTCTCTCCCTCCCTCCCTCCATCTATCTATCTATCTTCTATACAATGATCTTCTCTAGGATCTATCCGATGTAATCTTTTACGGTGTGTTTGTTGGGATCCAATGAATTATGGGTTTACGATCAGATTATTCATTGAATTTATTCGAGTCTTTGAGATCTCTTTGCTACGTAATTTTATAGCTTTGTATTTCTCTCTGATCTATCCGTCTACTTTGCCTAGGTTAAATTGATTTATCTTAAGCGGGTGAGGTTCTTTGTGGTAGGTTCAATCTTGTGATATTGCCCTGTGTTAGAAGGGGCAAAGGCATGTATTGTATTGTTTCTACTAAGGATAAACTATGGGGTTTGTTCATATTTATTGATCTTATTTTGGCTACATTATGTCATCTTAATTAAAGCGTTACTCTGTTTGTCATGAACTTAATACTTTAAGATACATACTGAATATCAGTCTTGGGGTGGAGTAATAGTAGTAGATGCAGTTGGATTAGCGGTCTACTTGTCACAGACGTAATGCAATGCCCATGTAATGATTATGCCATGGTTGATAATCAAAAGTATGCTCAATTTTATCAACTTCCCAACAATAATTTGTTTACCCACCATCGCGATGCTTTCGACAGAGATGCCATAAGTGAACCTATGGACGCCGGATCCATTCTCCATCAATACTAAGATTCCTACAATTGCTTTGTTTGCTTTCTTTCATTTTCTTTTTTACCTTTTATTGCTTTGCATGTCACATCAATTTTAATCTTGTAACTGGCAAGAACAAGGGGAGTGACGGCACCACTGGCGGAGCTATGTGGTGTGCTGCAGGTGCCATGGCCCCCCAGCTCATGATTTTTTGTGAATAAATACTGTTTAGAATGACACAAATTAAGATAAGTACATTATTTGGCCCCTCCACACAATTATATTTAGCTATTTGCCCCCTCAGTAATATATCGCTAGCTCCGCCACTGGACCACACCCTTGCCTTCGTTGGGTGCAAGCAATTGATGTGTCTGTGTGCAGGTACTATCACATTGCTGGTGTGGTGGCTCCTACTGGTTCGATAAACCTTAATTCTTAACTGAAGGAAATACTATCTGCTATTATATTACTTCACCCTTACTATTCGAAAAAAATCCAACAACTCCATCATGAGTAGCAATACTCTTATTTAAAAAAAGTCACGACTAAATTTTGTGCACTTGCAGAACATCAGGTTAGCGCTCCGGTTCAGGTTTGCGTTTGTGTTTGGCATGGGAAATGAGTGCAGGATTGGAGATCCTACATGTACTCGAGGTAGAGGCCGCCCAAGGCGTCACTGAGGAGTCTGAGGTTAGTGATCGGTTATACGGTTATGTTTATGACATCTTAAAAAGATGATCATCGTTTATCATGTATTAAAAATGTCCAACATGTATAAAAAAATGTCCACATGTATACCAAAAATGTATAATGTGTATTTGAAAAAAATCATTGTGTATTTTTAAAAAATCCACCATGCATTTTTTAAAATGTTCAAGGTGTACCTAAAAACGTTTCACATGTCTTATTCTTTTAATTTGTATTCCAAGAAGTCTCAATGTATATTTGGATTTTTAACATATAGTACCTCTGTACCGAAATACTTGTAGCTGGGGGAAACTAGTACAAGTTTCTCCCAACTACAAGTATTTTGGTACAGAGGGAGTATTCAACAAAAAAAATGCTCAAACATGTATTTATAAAAATATTCATCTTGTATTTAAAAAATGTTGAATGAGTACAAAAGAATGTTCAGTGCGTATACGGAAAATGTACAACGTGTATTAAAAAAGTCGACACGTATTTGAAATAATAAACAAAGGAAGAAGAAAATTAAAACCAATGCACATCATGAATAAAAACACAGAAAAAAACGCGTGAAATCTTTTCAAAACCGATGAAAGGTTTCATCTTTGCAAAACCGTTCGTCACAACAAGCCCTGTCAAGCCCACGAAAACGGAGATTTCAAGCCTGCCCGTAAGAGAAACGGATAAAACCCCCGGCCCGCCACGAACGAGCGGATAAGCCCCCGCACCCGCACACAACCGTCCCTCCACTTTCGCGGCTTCGCAATGGCCACCACCACCACCACCGCTCTCCACCCCCAGTTCCGGCCGCCGTCGCACCCGCGCGCAACCCGTCGGCTCCGACCATGCCCCTCCTCCTCCAGCGTCCGCCCCCGCTTCTCCGTCCGCGCCGCAGCGGCGTCGGCGTCCGCGTCCGCTCCGGCGCAGCGCGAGGTCGTCGCGGGTGTCCCATGGGGCTGCGAGATCGAGTCCCTGGAGAGCGCGGCGTCGCTGGAGCGGTGGCTCACCGCGTCGGGGCTCCCCGAGCAGCGGCTGGCCCTAGAGAAGGTGGACATCGGCGAGCGCGGCCTCGTCGCGCTCAAGAACGTCCGGAATGGAGAGAAGCTGCTCTTCGTGCCCCCGACCCTCGTCATCACCGCCGATTCGGTAGAAATGATCATACAATCTGTCTCATCAGTCACAACCCCATTAACGGCATTCAGTTTTTACAATCACTGTCTTTCTTGTGCTCGTGTCGTGTGTAGGAATGGAGCAACCGTGAGGTGGGGGATGTGATGAAGAGGTACTCTGTGCCGGACTGGCCGCTTCTCGCCACCTACCTCATAAGCGAAGCCAGCTTGGAGGGTTCGTCGAAGTGGAGAAGCTATATCGACGCATTGCCTAGGCAGCCTTACTCGCTTTTGTACTGGTATAGCCCCACGGTTACTGTTGGTTTGACACCCGAGTGATAAGACGAGTGGTTTTTGAGATAACATTCTCAATCTTGTACAGCCTTTCTTTGTCATTGTAGGACTCGCACTGAGATAGATGCATACTTGGTGGCTTCTCCGATCAGGGAACGGGCAATTTCAAGGATCGGTGATGTGATTGGGACGTAAGTGTCTATCTGTTTTTTGTCCTAGTCATTTACCATACCAAGTTTTCTCCTCTGTTTGGTGCCCTCACTGGAATGACGCCTTATGGTTTTGGCAGATACAATGACCTTCGAGATCGAATATTTTCTAAATACCCAGATTTGTTCCCCGAGAAGGTATGCTTCGCAACCGCTGCTATATTACTCCCTCCGTTCCAAAATACTTGTCGTGGTTTTAGTTCAAAAGTAATTTGGAACGGAGAGAGTAGTTTAAACTGATGAACATAAGAGGGGGGTTTGGAGAACTATTCTTGTGACATGGGGCATTCACGGGAATTCCATTTTATTTCAATTTAAACACAAAAAAACTGCCATCAATCGATTATGTCCGGAATTCGTCGCAGCCAGTGCCACCCAATTTCTATACACAGAAGCATAAATTCGATTAAGTAAATGTTCCGAATACAGCATGACTAAACAATGCTGATGATATTTAACTGTTTGACTATCACTATGAAAACATCGTTACTATAACAAATAATATGGTCTGATGACACCAAATGTACCAATTATTATCATTAATTGATTTTTGAGTTTGGTGCTGCTACTTTCTTATTTTAGGTGTACAACATGGAGAACTTTAGATGGTCCTTCGGCATTCTCTTCTCACGTCTGGTAAGACAAAGTGTCGTGAAGCTAAAATATGATGCAAACCTTGTTTTACTTCATTTTGCTTATCTGATAGCCCTTTCCATTACATATACATATGCTTTTGCTGCCCTTTTCTGCTATAAGAACACGCACACTGCATCGGACTATTTTGCAGGTTCGTTTAGAATCAATGGATGGAAAGGTTGCACTAGTTCCTTGGGCAGATATGCTTAACCATAGCCCTGAGGTATTACATTTTCTATATTTTACAAAGAATCATTTCAGTTCTAAAAAATGTTGTATGGAATTATGAAGCACAGCAAGTCCCACATTTCGCCTGTTTACAAAGAATTTTTAGCAATATTGTGCTGAATTCCTTAAGCACCGCATATCGGACAATTTTCCACCTTTTTCCATCATTTCCCAAGTCTTCCTGAAGTGCACAATGTCATGCATTTTTTCTTAGCAAAATCAACTTTCCAGGTAGATGCATTCCTGGATTATGACAAGTCATCGCAAGGAATAGTCTTCACCACTGATCGTTCGTATCAACCAGGTGAGCAGGTAACTTTTTTCATTTGTGCTTTGACTCTACTATATATTTTCTCCATACCAAGTTAGTTATCAAGAAGTCCATCACTCCTCATCCATTGGTAACTGCCATGTCCACGACATTAATGATGATCATAATCTTCACTATTGCTTGTTTTCGGAAGGCCATGTGGCATCTTCTTTTGGTTTTACAGAACTGGGAATTAGTTGAAATCCAATATAATTTCATCTAGTATATTGTGCACCCTTTTCTGTACCAATAGACTGGCATTTAAAGTACGAAATCATCTTGAGTCTTGTACAGGCTGTGTCTCTGCATCTATCCATTTTATATTTTACAGATAGAGTATACTTGATTTCAGATGGGCCACCACTGTACTTATTTTATTGTGGCCTTATCATTTTCTGCATGTGTTACGCTTGGGGCCAATTAGTCTTATTCCATGCATATATTATTTTAAATGTGTTTCTTATGAGAAATTATTACTAGCTAACTTGTCTATTTCTTGTTTGACCTCCTCAGGTGTTCATATCCTATGGGAAGAAATCCAGTGGTGAGCTATTGCTTTCCTATGGTTTTGTACCAAAAGAGGGAACAAATCCAAATGATTCAGTTGAATTCTTGGTGTCTCTTAACAAGTCTGATGAGTGCTACAAAGAGAAATTACAAGCACTAAAGAAACACGGTTTGTCAGAGTAAGTGCTCTCATCCTTTTTCCATGCGGAACTTCATATGCTTCTGTTACTTGGTTTAGGTTAGAGAAGTTCATTAAATTGGGGTATTTGTTGGCATATTCTTGTTTTTACTTCATGATAGTATCAAGAATAAAATACGAAAATAGCATTTTGTTTGTGCAATGAGTTTGTAACACATTTCATTTAGAAGAGAATTTTTAATCACATTTTGCCCTCAAGAAGTAAATTTAAGATGCTATATCTTGTGTCGATGGTGTTGATCCATTTGAATGTCTTGGTGCTGACATCCTCGTTGATTCGATGTTCTCTCTCCCAATAAAATGGTAAAGTTCCTGCTCACGTTTTGGAAAAAATGAATTTGCAGTTGTGCATCTAGTCATAGATTTTGACTTGGTTCATTGTTTTGGGTAATGGAAGAGAAAACTCGCCCAGCGTCTGGATCTTGAGATGCATATAGTCATAGTATTTATTACAAGATTTGTCCAAAAGGGCAACGAAAATGACTAGCCACATAAAACTGGAGAAATGCTCAACACCACCTAAACCGGGACATAAAGATCGTGGCAATCAACTCCAACTTCTTGGCACCATCCACCATAGGCTCTTGTTTCTTGTCAGTGTCACCTTATTTTCGAGAGGACCTTTAGGTTGCATGTTCTCTGGGGAAAATGGCACCAGTTCAGTAGTATGTGCAACATTGTTTTCATTTTTATTGCCTTGTTTTGTACATTTTTTATACTATCAAAGTTATATGGTTAGTATTGACAAGGGTGGATCTGGTCACCATTATCAGGTCTGAAAGTTTCCCCTTGAGGGTCACAGGGTGGCCAGTTGAGCTGATGGCTTATGCCTTCCTTGTAGTCAGTCCTCCTGAGATGATTCAACGCTTTGAGGAGGTTAGTGCTGTTATTTGGCACCAATTATTTTCAGAACTGTCTCCATACAGCTATAACAAGGGTGGTCAACACAGCTTGCCTATATAACTTATTTGTGCAGATGGCTGTTGCTGCATCCAATAAAGGTTCATCCAAGCCTGCACTTAATTATCCCGAGCTGGACGAGCAGGCTCTTCAGTTTATCTTGGACTGCTGTGAATCTAGTATAAAAAAATATACCAAGTACCTAGAGGTGAGATCTTGTCTGTGGCTATCTTGCAGATTTCACAATTCCCCATGTGATTTCAGACCGTGCCATTCCTGTTATAAGTTACACAAATCATAATCATTCGGCACCAATATTATTTCCTTCAAATGTCAGTTTTTAAGTCAAACAATAATATTTCAGGGCGCCAAGGGTTCTGCGGAAGTCTCAATCAATACAAAGCAGGCCAACAGGACCTTGCTACTAAAGCAGCTAGCAAGAGATCTGTGCATCAGCGAACGGAGGATCCTATATCGTTCACAATACGTAAGCCAGCATAGATCTTGCAGCCTAGCTGGTTCCTTCGCTCTGCACGTCATGGGGTTATTCCTTGGCGCCTCACATTTCCTCCCGTTGATATGGTGCAGATATTGCGTAGGAGATTGAGGGACATGAGGGCCGGCGGTGAGCTTAAAGCTCTGTCACTATTCAATGGTCTCAGAAAGCTCTTCAAATAAACAGATGGGCTATATCTTCTGCCCCCTGAAGATTTCGGGGAGCAATGCTCGTGTGTCTCCGTCGACTTGGTAAATTCTCAATCTGTCCTCATTTTTTACCACCTTCGTCGTCGAATGCCGTATTTTTCACTGAACACCACATGATGCAGTTTCAGTTCCACCACCCAATTGCTGGTGAGCTCAGGTGTTTGCTTGCCAAAGGCATATTGCAGTATCAGGCCAAGATCTTCGGAGCTGCAACTGAATAGTACGTAGGGAAAACTTAGAAAAGGTTGATGTGAAACCAAGAATAGCTGCGAGTTGTGATTGAACAGCCCTGAGCTTGGCATACGTGTATATGTGATCTAGGGTGCTGCAGCGCATCTGTTTATCTTTTCCTACACAGAGCTCTTTTTGGGGTCGCCTGTACTCCCAAAGACGCCAGAGCATTCGTGCTTCGTGTCCAGTTCTACCGGTGCAGCTCGGTGGCGGTATTGTGTGACTGTTTAGAGCATCTCCAGCCGTTGGCCCCAGGGGGCGTCTAAAATCGCCATCTGGGGGTGAGCCAGCGCAAAAAATCGGCCTGGGGCGAGTTGGTCCCCGGCCGCCGGCCCCAGGGCCGCTCCCAGGCACGTTCAAGAAAGAAAAATATATAGCAAATTTCGGCAAAGTTCGGCGAAGTTCGGCTAAACACGACTAAATTTCGGTAAACTTGGGCATATATTAGACATGTTTGCGGATTTTCATTACATAACAAAATATATAACTAATCTACAAAAGAAACTGGTTGAACGCCGAGTAGTCGCCGTCGTCGCCGCCATCCTCACCGTCGTCGTCATCGTCGTCCTTCTACTCCTTGACGCAGGCGTCCCTGCTGGACCCCTGCCCGGCGTCGCTATGGCGACTGGTGGCGGTGGCGGCGGCGGCGGCGGCGCGTCGTCGTCGACAGCGACGATGACGACGACTCCTCCTTCGTCGTGGCCGCCCCGGCGGCGCTACGTGAAGCGCCGCAGGGCGGCGCAATGGCGCTCCCTCGCCATCTTCAAGGAGTCATGGCGTGCCCATTCCAGGACCGCATCGTCGTCTAGCTTCACGTCGCCGTGCTCCGTCTTCATGGCGGGGAGGCCCGGCTCCGTCTTTGGCTTGACGAAGCGCAGAGGAGGAGCCGACAAGGAGGCGCGCCGCCCGCCCCCGTGACGCGCCGCCCGTGAGGAATCAATGGCAAGGCTAACCGACGGCAGCCTTGCCATTGATTCCCCGCGGGAAACCTAGGCGTTGGGGAAGACGAGGGCGGTGTCACTGACGCGGCTGGCCCGCGGCTCTTTCGCGCCAAAACCGCTCGCCCCGGCGTCCCGGGCGCTCCCAGTGCGTCGGGTTTGGTTTGGGTCCGCCAGCGCTGATTTCGGCCCAGGCCGGCGAAAATCGGGCTCCTGGAGGCGCAACTGGGCCGTTTTTCCGGCGCCGGCGCGAAAAAATCGCCTGGGGAGGCCTTTCTGAGGGCGCGGCTGGAGATGCTCTTAGTTGAGAATATCAGAACACGCAACCACTACTTTCTTTAGCACACGCACAACGCTATATTTCATAATAATAATAATATTTCTAGTATATTTTTCTTATATCCAAGTCTACTCACTTGGTACACTCAAAATACACCTTTGGTACTCAAAATACACCTATGGTAATCCCTTAACTTGCAAAAACATCTTATATTGTGGGATGAAGGGAGTACAAAATTGACAATCTAAAATGGATGAAATATCAGTAATTTTCTATTTACCAATTGAAATATCAGTAATTTTCTGTTTACCAATCAAAATATCAGCAATTCCCTATCTTATCAGTCGACCTCGTCATTTAGAGAATCAATTCCTTATAACATTTTCCACTAAACTGGAGATCTACTTTTCAAAAACTTTAGATATATATATATTTTTGCGACGAAACAGGGAGTTTTGTTCCAAAGTAATAGAGTCAAGGTACAGCGCAAAAAAATAGAGAGTTGAGGTCTAGAGGTGTGCTAAGGTTCCACACATTGCCTCCTCCCCATGAAAAGCCTAGGGTTCCTTTGCCTCCCGCCGCCGGTCCGCATCGTCTCAGGTGGCCTTAGGGCTATGGTGGTGCGGTGGATCCCGACTCTTGCCAGATGTTTTTTCGAGTTTTGTTAGGGTTTGTATCTTGATCAGAAAGACAAGACGACAACGACTCTCTGAAGATGGAATAATGTTTTCCCAGCCTAGCCCATGTCTTAATGGTGTGTGTAGCATCGCCAGTGGGCGTGCAGAGGTGTGTCTCTGGCGAATCTTTCCTTTGTGGATTTGCTCGGATCTAGCCGTAGTTCGTCTATGTTTGTGCGTCTTCAAGTAGGATCCTTCCGATCTATGCTATTCTTCAACAGCGACGACTGCTATTCTGGTGCGCTGGTCCTATGAGGTCTTAGCATGATGACTTCTCGACTGTCTACTAGACACTACAAATGTTTTGACTGGCTCCAGCAAGGGATGGACGATGACGGCGGCGCGCCTTCGGCTTGCTTCAGCGTTTGTAGTCGTCGCTAGATGGTCTACGGATTTGAATATAATTTTTATTATTTCTGGTGTTTAATGTACTACCATGATTAAAGATGAATAGATCAAGTTTTCCCGGAAAAAAAGTGTAGAGGTAAGATTTCCTCGATACATGGGGCCTTCTACGTAACCACACAACCGTGATACTCTTAGAACGGCTATACCGAACTTAAAAAAAGAACGGCTATACCTTACCAAACAATCTGCTATTTCATTTTGATCACAATGTAAGTCTATGGAACAAACTCCCTATCGATCATCAGGGCTTTAATCTCCAAAGCCGAATGATATAAAAAATCTCAATAGCAAACTGAAATATATTTGCTTTTTAAGAAAAAAAATAGGGTTTCATTGCCTCCCGCCGGTGTCGCCGCCGGTCTGCCTCGTGTTTGGTGGCCTTAAGGCTATGGAAGCGCGGTTGATCCCGGTCCTTCTCAGTGGGAGGGCTCCGTTTTTTATGTTTCTTCTAATTTTGTTAGGTTTTGTGTCCTATTCAAGAAGACGAAACGACGGTTCCTTGAAAATGGAATAAGATTCTGTTTCACCTAGCCCATGTTTTGATGATGCGTCTACCATCGTCGGTGGGCATGTGGAGGTGTGTCTTCGGCCGATCCGTCTTTGATGGATTTGCTTGGATCTGGTCGTCGTTCGTCTACATTTATCTGCCTTCGGGTTGGATCCTTGTCATCTACGTTACTGTTCATCAATGACAATTGCTGTTTTCGGTGCACTGGTCATATGAGGTTTTAGCACTATAACTTTTCGACTGTCTGCTATAATTTTTGCCCAGATCGAACGAGGGAGAGACGATGACAGCGGCACGCCATCGACTCGCTTCAATGCTTGCAGTCGTCGCTAGGTGGTGTATAAATTTGGATGTAATTTTTATTATTTTTGATGTTTGTTGTATTATCATAATTTAAGATGAATAGATTGAAATGAGCATGGTGGCGGCTAAGCTACAGCGATGTGTCTACTAGAAGACTGACAAGAGGTCAAAGTTCTCCAACACAGAGGCGGCTCCAACGGGGAGGCTCCGTTGACCATCCGCTACATACCCGGCCCCTGCACCTCTGACCCAGGGACCCAGGCCTACCCGTCACGCTCCACACCTGCGTTCTCGCTCGCTCGCACTAGCAGGCAGGGAGGATGGCCGGGAGCAGCGTCTCCGGCGGCGGCGGCCGCCCGCCGCTGTTCGCGACGGAGAAGCCGAAGCGGGTGCTGGCGTACCGGGTGTACGCGGGCACCATCTTCGCGGGGATCCTCCTCATATGGTTCTACAGAGCCACCCACATCCCGGCGAGGGGCAGCAGCAGCCTGGGGTGGCGGGCGGGGCTGGGGCTGCTCGTGGCCGAGATATTGTTCGGCCTCTACTGGGTCCTCACCCTCTCCGTGCGCTGGAACCCGGTCCGCCGCACCACATTCAAGGACCGCCTCTCGGAGAGGTTAGTGCCTGATCTGCGCCGCGCTTTTTTCCTTCTCTCTCGTAGAGCAGAGAGCGTTCGACGGAATGGCTAGCTGGACAAGTAGAGCTCCGACGAGAGCATTAGTTCAGGGGCTCGCCTTTAGAGGCGGCTTCCCTTCCGATTCTGAATCACACCAAGTCCAGCAACTTACATCTGTGATCCGCGAAGGCTTATTGCTGAAATAATGTGACATCGAGACTCGAGAACAAACCTTGCATTGTATTGTATGTCTGCAGCAGTGTAGTTAGCACATTCCCCGTTTTCTTTTTCAGCTGGGCTCAAGCCTGAAGTAGATACGCTTTGTCATAACTACCCAGAGTTATGGATACAGTTGAAAGATCGCACCCATGCTAGAATATGGTTCCAGAGTTGTGGATACAATTGAAACATCGCACCCATGCTAGAATATGATTCATTTACATAGATATATTTCAGCTAGGAGTCACGGCTACTGCCAAATCAGGTACTGTTATGCTCCATCAAGGACCTCAATGGCCATGGGTATTGTGATGATGCACATTCATGGCTAGTTACATGGTTCAGATAGCGCGGTATCTGCATAGCATCGTATGAACAAAAATTAGTTTGATTGTACTATCTATGTCTGTGGTGAATGACTTGTTAAAATACTGGCCACAAACAGATATGATGATGACCAGCTCCCTGGTGTGGACATATTTGTGTGTACAGCGGACCCAGCTCTTGAACCACCCATGCTTGTCATCTCCACGGTTCTGTCTGTTATGGCTTATGACTACCCGCCAGAGAAGCTAAACATCTATTTGTCTGATGATGCTGGTTCTGCTGTAACATTCTACGCTCTTCATGAGGCATCTGAGTTTGCAAAGCACTGGATTCCATTTTGCAAAAATTACAAGGTGGAGCCCAGGTCACCAGCTGCCTACTTTGCCGAAGGGGCTACCCCTCATGATGCTTGTAGCCCTCAAGAATTGCTCCGCATGAAGGTAGATCACAAACTTGTTCTGCACCTATGCAATTTAGCTTATCTCGAAAGAAATGATGTTGTGATGCAGTCTGATACAATATTTACTGGTGTAAGGGCCTGCTGGCCTTCCATTTTTGCCGTGTAAGGCTGTGAAACCAACACATTGTTTTCTTATCTGTTTTCCCCTCTTTTGTGAATTGCAGGAGTTGTACAAGGATCTGACAGATCGCGTGAACTCAGTAGTACATTCAGGCAAGATTCCCGAGGTTCCAGAATGCAACCACAGAGGCTCCTCTGAATGGAATGAGATGATAACTTCTGGAGATCACCCTTCAATAGTCCAGGTAAAAAATGGTAGTTTGGTCAGAGTCTGACTACTAGATGAAGTGCATGGTAATTGATTTTGAAATTCAAAATAATATGATAACTATGAGAAGTGTGAAAACCAACTCGTGTAGCTAATACAAAGCTGGTGAATTGGTTATAAAAGCTAACATATAAGAGTGTTGGTGAATTGAAGTGTTGTGGAAAAAATAAATATGTTTTTATGTTTATCAAGTAGTACCTATGGAGAATAATTCTAGGCAATCTGTCCACTGTTAAAACTATTCCAAAAGGAGCTTCCATGTTCGCTCTGAGAAGCTAGAAATCCCACAGTAGTGTTCGCTCTGAGAAGCTAGAAAACCCACAGTAGTCAGAGGAAAAAGAAAAAGATGTACACCGCTTATTTTAGTGGCTCTGCAGTATAGCAGTGCAAATTAATCAGTGTGCAATAGAGCAGTTATTACAATTATAAAAGTTTAACGCATCATGTTGGTGTAAAAAATACAATTGTTGTTTAGTTTTTTACTATCCAACCATGCAATTGATAGTTAATTCAGGTAGTTAAAATAAAAGGCATAGGTGCTTGTTTGGCTGAATGTAATTCAACCTGATGTAAGACGAGCCTGACATGGTTGATATTCATCCAGTGAAGAATCTACCTTCAAAGAAAACTGTAATAGCAGAGTAGAATTTATATTTCTTATCTGCATAATTTTGGTGATCCCGTCTAATCAAATGGTTCTCCATTGCTAGATTCTAATTGATAGAAACAAACGGAAGGCAGTTGATGTAGATGGAAATGCATTGCCAAAACTTGTGTATATGTCACGCGAGAAGAGACCTCAGGAACAACATCACTTCAAAGCTGGATCATTAAATGCTTTGGTAGGTGTCCTCTCTTGGTATAGTCAATGATTTTCTAGAATTACCATTTAGAATCAACCTTCATTGTGTTTATATACCTTAATAAGGTCAATTGTGCAGATAAGGGTATCTTCGGTGATAAGCAACAGCTCAGTCATTCTGAATGTTGATTGTGATATGTACTCCAACAACTCTGAGTCCATTAGAGATGCATTGTGCTTCTTCCTAGATGAAGAGCAAGGTCAAGATATCGGTTTTGTGCAGTACCCTCAGAACTTTGACAATGTGGTGCACAATGACATCTATGGCAATCCCATCAACGTTGTCAATGAGGTCAATTGAAAGATAATATAGCACCTCCTAAAATTTCGACAAAGGACACACCTATGTCTGAAGCTGTAATTAAGACTAATCTGGTTTGTTGTTTCATTGACTTGATGTTCAGTTGGATAACCCTTGCTTGGATGGATGGGGTGGAATGTGTTACTATGGCACTGGATGCTTCCATCGCAGGGAGACCCTCTCTGGACAAATATATAGTAAAGATTACAAGGAAGACTGGGATAGAGGAGTGGGGATAGCAGAAAATGCAGATGAGCTGGAAGAAACGTCCAAGTCACTTGTGACATGCACGTATGAGCATAACACCCCGTGGGGCATTGAGGTATCTCTATCTCTTTCTACAAACCTGAATATGAACATTTCCATTGATCCCCTTCTCTTTGATGAGTATATACAGAAAATCCTTCAGGTGATGCCCGAAGGATGTCCTTCCTTGCATGTGTGTACTGTTATGCAGATCATTTTTGATGAGTTTGTGTTTCTGAATTGCAGAAAGGAGTTAGATATGGGTGCCCACTGGAGGATGTGATTACAGGATTGCAAATCCAATGCCGCGGGTGGAGATCGGTGTACTACAACCCCGCTAGAAAGGGCTTCTTAGGCATGGCCCCTACCTCACTAGGCCAGATCCTGGTTCAGCACAAGAGATGGTCAGAAGGGTTCCTCCAAATATCCCTCTCCAATTACAGTCCCTTTTTATTAGGCCATGGTAAGATCAAGCTGGGTCTTCAAATGGGTTACTCGGTCTGTGGCTTCTGGGCCCTGAACAGCTTCCCCACCTTTTACTATGTCATCATTCCTTCACTTTGCTTCCTCAGTGGCGTCTCTGTTTTCCCTGAGGTAATGACTAACATTCTACACTATGTTCCCTAGCTCATTTTTACGCACCGCGGTTCAGTTCTGACACGATACTTGCATGTGCAACTCATTCAGATAACCAGCCCTTGGTGCATTCCATTCATATACGTCGTGGTAGCTTCATACTCCTGGAGCCTAATGGAGTCGCTGCAATGTGGTGACACTGCAGTGGAGTGGTGGAACGCACAAAGGATGTGGCTCATGAGAAGGACCACCTCCTACCTCCTGGCGGCCATCGACACGATCGGGGGAATGCTGGGCGTCTCCGAGTCCGGATTCGAGCTGACGGTGAAGGTGGACGAGTCGCAGGCTCTGGAGAGGTACAAGAAGGGGAAGATGGAGTTCGGGCCCATCTCGGGTATGTTTGTGATCATCACCACGATCGCGCTGTTCAACCTGGTGTGCCTGGTGGTCGGGCTGGGCAGAGCTCTGTTGCGCGAAGGAACGGCAGGGTTGGGACCTTTGTTTCTGCAGGCTGTCCTCTGTGTGGCCATAGTGGTCATCAATGCTCCGGTCTACGAGGCCCTCTTCATCCGCAGGGACAGCGGAAGCCTGCCTTATTTCGTCACCCTAGTTTCCCTTTGCTTTGTGTCGTCGCTCTGCCTACAGGCTATCTAGAAATGAATTCGGCGTGATAACGATAGACGGACATGCCCTTACTATGAGTAACATTTTGAAACAATCTATTTACACGGCTCTGAACTTCCATGTTATTGGACAGCTGCGACAACGATGTGGTATTCAGTTCCCTAGACTCTATCTACTAACCTTTAATTCAGATTTCACTGTCGCCAAAGTTCTGTCTGATAATATGAGTTTGATTAGATTTAGAAGAGTTTTATGGGGAGACACGGCTGATATGTGGTATGAGCTCAAAAATCTATGCAGTAAAGTAGTTTTAAACGATCAAGAGGATAGATGTAGTTGGCTGCTAACTAAATCTGGTAGATTCACGGTTAGATCTTTGTATCTTGCTTTAAAAACGGATCAGGCTGCCTGGCCTCATAGGAAATTGTGACAGGCGAGGATACCGCTGAAAGTTAAGTTTTCTTGTGGTTGATGTTTAAGAATAGTGTCCTAACTAGAGACAATTTGGCGAAAAGAAACTGGAAAGGAAAGGATAAAAACTGTAGTTTCTGTGATTACCCAGAAACGGTTGATCATCTTTTCTGTACATGTGTGGTGGCTAAGTTTGTGTGGGGTGTGGTTAGGAATGTAACTGGAATTCATGACATTCCATGCAAGATAGAAGAGTTTACTGCCTGGGTAAAAAAAAAATCCTAAGAATAGTAGGCAAACAATAGCAGTGGGTGTTTCTGCGGTGTTTTGGACTTTGTGGAAAGCCAGAAATGCTGCTACATTTCATCATGTTTACCCTTATGATCCTAGTGTGTTGTTCTTTCAAATATCTTATTGGATGTCTTACTGGGCTGGTCTACAGAGAAAAGAAGGGCAACAGATGTTGCGGGCCGTCGCAACACTGCTGGTTGATGTTGCGAATGGTTTCTTCAACAAGAGCAGAGGATGGGCGCCCATGGTGAAACGTCTTGACATCGGGGAGTAATTTTGTCTGTAATGTTAGCTGAATTTCTGTCCTCCCTGGAGAGTATGTGGCGATGAGTGGGGGAGAGGAGCCCTGTGTGGTTACCTCTCACCTAGGTATGCATTTCTGATAAGTATGGAGTTTTTTCTTAGTTGCAAGCTTTATTCTCTTGGTTGTCTAGTTGCTGATGCCTGGATGTCATGGTAGGACATCTGAGGGCTGGATGGAATCTGAAGAATACTTGATCTGTTTTATTGGTTTCCTTTCATGCAATGAAATAAAATCGGGGGCATGCCCCTCAATTCAAAAAAAAAAAAAACGCTGTGGTATTCTCTACACCCATGCGATTAACAGCTACTAATGCATCATCATTTTTGCATATAGTTTTTCCCTAACGATCATCTGGTAGTTCTGCAGGGCAGGTTCCACATCGAACGGGGCATCTCAGCTTGAAGCTGCCGGTGGCAGGCAGGATGGGAGTTTACGCACGCACCTGAGGCTGAGAACATCTGAAAGGAAAGCAGATGTATCCGCATGGTATGAGCAAGTTTCTTTCTCTTATGCGAAAGCCATACATCGCGCCTGGCGACAGGGTCACGTGCGACCGTCGCATAATTACATCAACATCGTCTCATCTCATCCCCGAAGTGGCAAGTGTTTGTGTATGTACGATAGTAGTACGTTTGTTTATGAACGAAGCAGCGGCATTGACACTCCCCTCTCCTCCATCCCATCGCATTCGCATTCGCGCGACACTCCGCCCGATCCCCCTTCTCCTCTTCCTCAGTGTCCTGGCTCAGGGCTGCGTGGGGCTCGGCGACACGCAGCAGAACCATTTCTTCTGCAATATCAGATGGAAATGAATGAATGAATCTCTTGAATCTCTTAAGATAGGTGAGGAAGAAGAAGAGGAAGAAGAAAAGGTACCGAGGTGTTGGGCCTGGAGTTGCTGTAGGACTGGTTCATCTTGGAGTCGGGCCTGGCGTCCTTGCCGTCGGCGGACCTGCTGGCCTTGTGCACGTTGACGGGGGCCTTCTTGTCATCCCTGGCCTTGCTGAAGATGACCGTGAACCCGTCGGCGGAGGCCGGGTTGTTCACGTCCCAGGCGCCGAACTTGGGGATTGTGCGGCCAGCCTCCATCTGAGCCATTTTCTTGTTTCAATGCACCATCATCACATTATTTGTTTGCGACATTAAAACAAGATCCATGTAGTATGATCAACCAAGGCAGTGCAAACAAGATGAACCAGAGATCGATGAATCCATAGGCGTAAATTCACGCAGGATCTTGATCAACTCACCGACATGTTTATGCCTTGACGGGGTGGCGCGGTGCCCTTGAGCGGTAGACGCGAGAGAAAATTTTGCCCCCTTGAATGGATATGAAGCGCAAGTGCTTCGGGGCAAAATTTCCCCCGGGATGAGAGGGAAGGCGGTCAAATATAGCAGGAGGAGAAGATTGGGGGGATCGCAACGGCACCCGCCCACTTATACCCGCTAATCTCATGCATGCTCTGCGTGGGACGTTGCCTGGCTAAAATTAAGCACATTTCCCAGCGGATTTTGTTTACTCCCACTACCTTTTTTTTAACACGGCGGCTCTGGTTTCGGAGGCAGCAAAACGGCCTAGGGAGCCAGAAAAACTGGATTAGGGGGGCCAAGTGCTGTCAAAAGAGGCTGGGAGGGCCAAACTATAGGAAAAAAAGATTTTTGGCAACAAATAGTGGACTATTTTCTTCCTGTTCATAAGTAATATTAGCAGCAATCCTTGAGGGGGCTTGCTGGCACTCCCTATCTCCGTCGCTGCTTCTGCCGGGCCCGCCTGGTAGCCGTGTCCTGTTTGCGGCTAGGTGGTGGAGTCACCGGATCGCATGTCTTTTTTTTGACATCCCCGGGGTAGTGCGTGAAATAGCGAGCAAACATGCACCTTCCGTGCACACCGTGCCTTTTCCTAGGCTCGGGCCAAGAAGTTGGGGCAACGGCAGCGAGGCGTAGGAGATGGTGGACGGATGACGAAGCACTGAGCCTGAGCCGGTGACGACGTGGCGGCTGTGAGGCGTAGGTGGTGGTGGACGGAGGGCGAAACACTGAACCCGAGCCGCTGACAACGCCCGATACAGGTGAAGGCAAGGACGAAATCTGAAGGGGTTGGGTGTGGATCAGCAGCGCCAGAGAGGAGGGATTAGAGGGAAGACCAGGGCGGTAAGGGTAGGGAGAGACACCAGGTGGTGCAGCATCGACACCAGCCATGGGTGGTGGGAGCCAGCGGTTCAGCTGATGCCGACTTGCAGGTCGTTGAGGTGACGCGCAGATATGTCGCTGAAAAGGGAGAACGCCGGTGACAAGAAACGAAGAAGGTGGCAAGGAGACATGACATCCCACAGACTCGCGAGGCGCACGTTACCTCCTCTATTCCACGCATTGAGCACTGAATAGGAGGACTCATATGCGAGTAGTGGAGCGAGATCCAAAAGTTCCTTCTAGTTTCATTTTCATGGAGTGCGAGAGAGATAGCACTGGACAAGACATGTCTTTGTGTCAACTAAAGTTTATAGTAGCAAGGGATTTTTACGGAATCATGTACAAAAAATATTATATAAATTTAGGTGATGAATGTGCTTAAAAAGACCAAATAGCTGAGAATATATTTTTGAGGAATGCTGCAAAGTCGCGTCGCGAGAAAGGCAGGGATACATGGGAGGGGTGTAACACCCCGACCAAACCCACTGGTTACTACCCGTTGTGTCCGGGATCTAGACCAGCACTAGTTTTTACTGCGCATTTTCATCCTCACTCGTGCGCATCCGGAATCAACTTATCGGTCGACCACCCGTTTTTAAATTGCTCCAAGACAAACACGCTTAATTTTGAAATTTTTTTTTTGAATGGGCTCCTAAAAAAAGTTGAGTAGTCTATCTTCCTTCGTGCCCGATGAAGAAGACATTGTGTCATTCGGCCAAAAGTTCACATAAATTCAAAATTTTACAGAGTGAGTAGCTTGTTAACTGGTATATATGTTGGCTCTACGTTGGTATGTTGATTGTTAGTTATGTCGTTTCGGGAGGGACATGGCATTTGCTATAGCTTCTGAATGAACAAGTTCATGGCCCTGTTTGGATACTCTAACTTAGTTAGGGATTAGAGTTAGATTCTAACCTTGAACTAACTCTAGCTAGAGAGGTGTTTGGATGGTAGGGTTAGATGGAGCGCGGATACGGCGAGACGTCTTCACGGGCAGTGCGAGAGGCAGGGAGGGAGAGGACAAGAAGCTGTGAGGAAGTGGGGAGGGATCTGCTGCAGGAAGAGCAAGAGAAAAAGATATTTTTTAATGGTCTCAAAAAGAACTAACCCTAGACTTTATTTTGCAGATTGTTTCGGACGAGATCCCTTCAAGGGATGGTCAAATAAATAGATGTGGTTGAGTTTAAAAAAAAAAAGAACTAACCCAAATAAGTACATCTTGGGTGGATTAAATTTTTTGAATGGGTTAGATGCATCTAACCCAAACTAACCTTCCTGTTTGGATATTTTTGAGTTAGTTGAGTCCAAACTAATACAAATTAACTCTAACCCATGGATCCATACAGGGCCCATATCGATGGCTCATGGAACAAAATAACAACACAAAACATTCTAAGAGCAACTACCACCCCTACAAGATGGTGGCTGAAACATCACGAGAATAGTGGAAATGCTGGAATACTCTGACTTCTTGGAAGCAGTCTGACCACACCGAATTTATGGGTGACTAGCTCGACAGAGACCATTTCGATTGGCAAAATGCACCGTGAGAAGACCTCCTACCGACTGCTGCTGGTCGACAGGAAAACGGCGACAGTAAACCAAATCAATAAGGCGAAATTTATTTCCATTTTATTTGACTGGATCGAATGGATTACATGACACCAAGGTCTCGCCTGAGTAATTCACCTAAGACTCGATAACAGATGTTCCTCCCCTTTTTTTTTTTGACTTGAACAGATGTTCCTCCCTACCATTACCTATAGATCTCGAGACTAACATTAATCCCTACACCGATGACACAGACCTAACGATCGATAGCCTACATTAACCTCTTCCAAGTAAGATCACGCCAACGCGATCATGGCGACGACACTGGCGACAAGCCCTGTGACAGTGGAGAGCGCCCGCCTGGACGCGCCACTGGGCTCGGTCGACGGGCTGGGTCCGAAACCGGTCGTCGAGGTGGATCCGCCAGAACTGGACCCGTACGACGGGGACTCCGGGGCCGAGACCGCCTGGTTGGGGCTGGGGCTGGGGCCGGGCGCGTGGCCGCCGACGACGCCGACGGCGGGCGGTTTGGCCGGAGCGGCGGCCAGCGTGGAGTGCCCGACGACGCTGGCGATCATCCGCTGGCCCGCCTCGCAGTGCCCCGGCACGCCGCTGACGAAGAAGAAGAAGCCCGTCCGGTCGAACTTGAACCTGGTGTCGCCGTCCGCGAACCGGGTCAGGGGGGTCACCGTGCTGCACATCTTGTAGTCGTCGTGGTTCACCAGCAGCACCGAGTCCTTGGCCGCGTACTTGAAATCTGCGCGCCGGCCGGCCGCCATGAATCAAGAACGCAAAGTGAGTTACTATTATGTAGGACAGGAGTACCAAATAAATCAAGCAATAAGGCTTTGCGGTAATCAAGAAGAGCGCTATGGGGTTCGATCTGGATGCGACGGTAACTGCTGCTTACCCAGGACGTCGCCGACTTGGAAGCGGTTCTTCTTGGCCCAGTGGTTGTACGTCTCGGTGCCGTTGCCGGCCGGCACCGCCCACCCCCTCTCGTCGCCGACGCTGTACACCACGGGCGCCGCCGACGCCGGCGACACCGAGGCCGCGAGGAGAATGCAGCAGCAAGCAGCAGCAGCAGCGAGGACGATGACGCTGGCCATTGGAGAAGGATCAGAAAGGGCACTAGTGTGTAGTGTAGTGGTGTTGGTGTGAGATCTAGCGATGGTGGCAGTGGCCTTTTATACCGAGGATCCGGAAGCGAGTGGCGCCGGCGAAACGGAGGTCAGTTGCCAACGTGCAGGAGGAGAGAGCGGGGGTCGTTGCTGCACAACGGGAGGAGCCGTTGGGCTGTCCGGTCTCCGCTGCATGGCGATAGGAGGCGTTAGCTTCTGCGACGAGTCGTGGGTTGAATACGTAAACCCCCTTGAGAGGCGTATTTCCTCGAAGTACGTCAAAGAGGGTCGGTTTACGGTAAATATCATGTTTGCGTAGACTCCACCAGATTCTGCGGAGAACCCCAAACCCCTCTCCGAACCCAGGACTACTCCCTCGGCGGCGGCGGCGCGTTGAGATGGCTGACGGCGCGGAGAGCGGGCAGGCCGCGGTCGTGGGGGACGGGAACCCTCCGCAGCTCTCCAAGAGCGCGAAGAAGAAGCTGCTGAAGCAGGAGCGGCAGGCGGCACGGAAGGCCGAGCGGAAGGCGGGGGAGAAGGAGCGCCGGCGCGCCGACATAGAGCGGCGGAGGCGCGAGTGGGAGGAGTCTCTGACCGCGGCGCCGTCGCAGGAGGCGCGCGAAGCGATGCTGGCGGCGCGCAGGGAGACGCGGCTCGAGCGGGTGGGAAAGCGCGTGGAGGAGCGGGGGGCGCGCGCCGAGAGGCTCCGGCGCGCCGCCGAGGGTGGGCAGAAGGTGGTGCTCGACCTCGAGTTCGCCGACCTCATGCGGCCCAACGAGATTCACAGCCTCACCCAGCAGGTGAATTCCCCTTGTCCTTGTTGCCTTTCTCGCTATGTTTTGTGCTCACACTAAGTAACATTGATGATCAGAGATTTATAGTAAGGTAATTGAAAGGGGATTATGCGATTCTTGATGATTTACACTAGCTCGTATGCACGGGGAGAGTCTCCGGCCTTGTTGCTGTAATTGGCGAACTGGAAGTGCTAGTTGGATTAACATTAGACGCTAATGTTGTAGTTGTTCAATATTCAGATAAGCTCCTTCGTTGTTGTAGTGAAAGCTTGAGTAGTCCCTTTCATTATAATTAATAATTGGCTTAATTGTGAATGCATATGAAATATAATTTGTGACATGGCATATTTTTCAGTTTGCATCTCAAGAACTTACCAGTTTGTGTGGTGTTGCTATCTATCAATTGTTAATCATGGGTGTGATATACCCAATTCTTTCTCGTCTATCTGAAACATTCAGAGCAATGTAAAATGCACTGGTATTAGAGCATCTCCAACAGAAGCCCAAAAAAACGGCGCGCTAAAATAATTTTACAGCGCCATTTTAGTAATTTTAGCGCGCCGTGGCCGATTCAGTCCAGCAGAGGCACAAAAATATAGCGCGCAGAGGACAGCGCGCAGCAGTCCAGCAGACGCACTAAAAAATAAAGCGCCACAAATATATCTACAGCAAACAGGTCCCTAAACATTTACAAATAAGTCCATCTGTTCAAAACAAAAACGCAATTGGGTCCCCAATGGTTGGAGCAAGCTAGCTTGCTGACCTTGCAAATCATCTTCCGCCGGCCACCACACGCGAGCTAAGCTTGCTGTGAATCGCAAACGCGAGCTAGCTAGCTTTAGCTTCCCTTCTAAATCGTTGGAGCAAGCTAGAGAAGGGCAACGGCGGCTCCCGGCCGGCACGCGCTCCCGGCCAGCGAACTCGAGGCGGCGAGCTGCAGCCGGCGAGCAGAAGGGCAGCGTCGGCTCCGCTCCGTGCTAGGACGAGCAGAGACGAGCACGCAGAGGAGTGGCGGCGGCCGGCGGCGGCGCGCTGCAGCGAAGGGCTGTAGCGGCGAGCTCGAGGCGGGACGAGCAGAGGAAGCGGAGCAGCTGGTCTTCGCGCTTCAAATTGTCCAGCGCGCTGTACGCCGCGCACCAAATATCCCGCGTGCGATGCAGAAATTCCCAGCGCGCTGGATGGATTTTACAGCGTGCTGGCTTTTGCAGCGTCTGTTGGAGATGCTCCGCGCGCTAAATTGACGTTTTTTCCAGCGCGGGCTACTTTTAGCGCCTCTATTGGAGATGCTCTTAGCATCTGCAAAGCTAATAAAAATGAGAGTACCATTTCTGATACTGCGTACTTAGGTAATATCTAAATGCCTATGTCTACCAAGATACTTTACACCTTCATGAATATTTGTCTGAGTAAACATCCGAACTGTGAACTAATGCAAGTTACAGATTATGTACTGCTATGCAGTGAACGGAAGATCAGCAACCCCGGCTCATCTATGGTTGACAGGTTGCAGCGGAGAAATGGGGACCCAGGTTCAAAGGATACCTGGCTTTGATAAGTGGATCATAGAAAAAGAGGCCAAGTCTTACCTTGAAGCATTTGCAGACTGTAAAGAAAATCTTGTGTATCTTACAGCGGATGCTGAGACTGTCCTTGATGAACTAGACATGTCGAAAATATACATCATTGGTGGTCTAGTGGATCGGAACAGATGGAAAGGCATAACACAGAAAAAGGCAGTTGATCAGGGCATTCAGTCTGCGAAGCTCCCCATTGGAAGTTATTTAAAGATGTCAAGTTCTCAGGTGCGCATATGCATGCTCCTCTATTTTTTTCATTACAAGTTAGCTTCCGCAGTTAATATTATATATTTTGTTGCCTCTATGGCATCAAATTTGTTATTGTGTTTGCATTTCAAAATATACCTTGGGATCATATTGTTATGATGTCTTCTTTCAAATAATATGGACAGCTTTGGGATCATATCATCATTTCTAACATGTTAGAGGAACCTAGAGAGCATTTTATGAATGGGAAATATACCACACATGTTTTTGCTGATTTTCTAGAGAGTACTGTTTTCACATTTTAATGCAGAAACCGGAGAGCATTTATAATTATGTTGCTGCTTATTTTAAACTACTACTCCCTCTTTCCATAATTCTTGTCGTGGTTTTAGTTCAAAGTACAAAACAAGTTGTCAACTGTTGTTGATCGTTCTTACAGTCAACCAAGTGTTTGAGAATGTATTAGTCTTGGCTTCGGAGGACTTTGGAGAGCTATACTAAGAATCTAAAATTATTGACTCTCCTTGCATATTGATCATATAGGTTCTTACAGTCAACCAAGTGTTTGAGATAATGCAAAAGTTTGTGGAAACAAAGGACTGGAAGACGGCATTCTTTCATGTGATCCCACCGAGGAAACGAGGAGAAGCTGGAGCAGCAAATGATGATGATGCACCTGAAGGGGCTGCAAACGGAGATCTTGACAAGTGTTTAGAAGAGGAGGTTGATGATGAGGAGGATGATGGTGATGGGGATGAAGAAGCCGATGTTGCTAACAAAAGACATTGTGTTAGAAGTGAAAATGGAAAATCTTAGAATCACTCTTTTGGTGCAGTGGTGGAAGTGACTCCTGGATAGGCTATTATCTCCGGGAAGAGCAGAGGGAAAGAGCAATCTACTGTGCCGACGACTGAAATACGAGTCATCTCCAAGTGTATCATTACTATTAACGTTGCTGAACTGCTTTGTTTACCTAGGTTTATTTGTTTGGAGTACTCTGAGGTGTCGTAGTATTTTTGTTTTTGTTATCTGAACTACACCCTGTACTTTTGTACGGCGCGAGGAAGGAACGTGCTATATAACAGCACAGATAAATAGAGTGCTTCTGTTCTCATCTTTGATGGTTTTCTCTTGGAGTTTAGAAAACACATGTATTTTTATAGACAACACAGGCATCTATCTGCTTTAGAAACACAGATATCACCCAAACTCAAGCGTGCCTACAGACACGCTGCTGCGTTCGTTTGGGTCCACATGGACAGAAACCATGGTTTTGCGTCACACGGACAGGAGACGGACAAGCCGTTTGTCCGTTCGGGTCCACACATCAGCCACCCAACGCGATATCCGGGTCCTTCTAAATGCCACGAGTGTGTGTTGGGGTGGAGGCATCCGTGACCACTCTGCTCCCCGTCGCCAACAGGCAAAAACCGAGTCCACCGGCGGCGCAATGTTGTGGAAGTGGACCTCGGGCAGCACAACGACGAGGCCGACTCCTCCTCGGGGCGGCGCCGTGCGGCACCCTTCACCGTGACGTTGACGGGGGCTGCGCCGCCCGTGCACGACCGTATGTACGCATGTACGTTCCAGTCGCAACGTGTCAGAGGTACTAGGAGGCTGTCATCCCAATGCCCTAGGCCGGATGTGCAACTGCCCAACGGCTGGCATTTGAGCCCATAAATGGTTTCAGTGCCGGTCGTTCTGGCCTCCAGTCGCGGGTGCGGTGGAGATCCACCGCCATCACGATCTACTGCCCGATGATCTCCGCCACGACTCGAGCCGAGGACTCCCCCCTCCCTCCCACTAGGATACGTTTGCCGTGCTTCGTCGCTCATGCGCACGCGTGTGCTCCAACGCCACCGCATGAGCCGCCTGTGGTGAAGGAGAAGGAGCCCGAGGACGACCAGGCCCTCAAGGCCTCCGAGCTGGTCGAGCTCACGCACTGGTCTGACCTGCCACTGTCGCTCCACTCATCGGCGGTCGTGGCCACTGCACTGGCGGGGCCATACCCATAATCGCCTCAGTCTTCATCGACCTCGTCAGCGACGAGAATGAGGACAAGGCGATGAGCATTTGATCTAGGTTTTTAAACTTATGTTTTTAGCTCAATTAATGTAACGAACGGACTTTTGGCGGCAAATTATCTTTTTTATTTTGAAAAAAATTTGTTGGTCCACACATTAGGCCTCAGATGGACTTTTGTTGTCCACATGACCACCCAAATAGACAAAAAAGGACACATTTTATGTCCGTTTGGGTCAGCCCATTGGTGTTGACCTAAGGAAGAGTCTCCCCCACCCCCATGGCATTTTCTGTTTAGCGCTTCAGGTGCCTGTTACTGTGCAATTTGCAAACAGGCGCACATCCCCTCCGTGGTGGGTTGGTCGATCTACCATTTTTTCTTCTGTTTTTTACAACACAAAAGAGTGTGAACAAGTGACTCCATGCATCAAGTTTGTTGAAATAACCACCCCGCCACCCTGCCCGCACGGACTACTTACATCTTATTTCGTTTTTTCATTCTTCCTCCTTTGCTTTTTTCTTTTTCCCCTTTTCTCTTTTTCTTTTTTCCTCCTCTTTTTTCCTTTTATTTCTTCTCTCTCATTCAATGAAATTTTATTTAAATTCATTTACAAAAAATGATGATTTTGTATTCAAATTCATGAACTTTTTTCCAATATCATGCTCTTTTTTCAAATTGGACAAACATTTTTTTTAAATCAATGAAATTTTTAAAAATTTGATTAATTACTTTCAAATTCAATGAACTTTTTTTCAAATTTGATGAACATTTCCCAAACCCACGAAGTTTTTTCAATTTTACCTTTTTTTCAAATTCATAAACTATTTTCATATTTGCAATTTGTTTTTCAAATTCTGGAACAGTTTTTGAATTGTGCGCCAGCGGAGCTAAGTGTTTCAAACACACAACAACGTTGAGATTTGGAAAACATTTCTTGAAAATTACAAGCAGTTTTGAAATGCTGCAATTTTTTATATTCCAGTTTTTTTGGAGAAGTGAACATTTTTGGTAATTCTGATTTAAAAAAGGAACACGAACAAATTTTGCAAATCCCGAACTGTTTTTAAAAACTTGTTTTTTTTTTCAAAAATTAACATTTTCTAAAAAATTAACAAATTACAAAAAGCGCAAACATTCTTTGAAATTTCCGCATATTTTCTGAGATCATGAACAGTTCTCAAACTTTTGACAAAATGGAAACAAGAACATTTTTAAAATTCATAAAAGAATGTTAAAATAGAACATTTTTTGCAATGTAGACATGTTTGCTCTGTATACTTTTTTGGAAATGCGAACAAAATTTCAAACATGGAAAGATTTTTTGAAATTGCGAACAAAATGTTGAATCCGCAAACATTTTTTCGAACATGAATGTTATTTTTGAAATGGTGAACAAATTTTGAAAACAGGAACATTTTCTTGAAATACATGCACATATTTTGAAACACGAAAGTCTTTCTAAAATTATGAATAATAAAATGAGAATAAGTTTTAAAATTCTGGAACTTTTTGAAACATGAACATTTTTTGAAAATGTGAACAAAATTTAGAAACAGGGACATATTTTTAAAATTGTGAAGAAATTTTGAAAAGGAGAATTGTTTTTTAAATTCTTGAAGATATTTTCAGGCACAATCAGTTTCTAAAATTGTGAACAAAATTTTAATATGAGAACATTTTAGAAAATTTCGAACAATATTTGAAATCTCCAAACAAAAAGAGATAGGAAAAATAAAAAACCAAAACAAGAACAAAAAACGAAAAAGAAACATAAACAGAAAAAGGAAAAAATAAAAGAAAAAAGGTTCAAAATAAGATGCCCAGTTCAGGAACCTTCTAGAATGTTCCCAAAACCGATAGAAAGTGGCTGGTAATTTGTGGAAGGTTTCTAAAACCGAAAACGCTGGAACATGTTAACGGGCTGGCCCAGCTCATCACTTTGATCGCCAGCTTGTGTGAAAGCTCGACAATTTGACGAACATGTTAACGAGCTGGCCCAACTCACCGCTTCAATCGCCAGCCTATGCGAAAGCTTGAGAATTTGACGCCAAATGCGTCAGATAGGATCTTCAGGGACCAACTAACTAAAAAGTGCTCGTTCCCAGTCAGGTCACTTGGCGATGGGCTGGGAGCGCGCCACTGATACGTCCGTTTTGCATCATATTTTTATATTGATATTGCATTATGAGACGTACTTACATATTATGGTACAATATGTATGCCTTTTTTTCCTTAAGCTGAAATTTTGGACCGAAAATGAACAAATCTGAGTGACCTATTTTGCACAACTCCAAAAGTCCTAAAACTTTACGGAGAATTATTTTGGAATATATAAAAATATTAGGAGAAGAAAATACCAGAGGGGACCCACCAGGTGGGCACAAGCCTGGAGGGGGGGGGCTACCCCCTAGGTGCGCCCCTAGGGCTTGTGGGTCCCCTGGCAGGCCTCTGGTGCCCATCTTCTGCTATATGATGTCTTTTGACCTGGAAAGAGTCAGAAGAAAATTTTTGGGACGAAGCGCCGCCATCTCAAGGCGAAACCTGGGCAGAAGCAATCTAGGGCTCCGGCAGATCTGTTCTGCCGGGGAAACTTCCCTCTCGAAGGGGGAAATCGAAGCCATCGTCATCACCAATGATCCTCTCATCGAGAGAGGGTCAATCTCCATCAATATCTTCGCCAGCACCATCTTCTCTCAAACCCTAGTTCATTTATTGTATCTGATATTTGTCTCAAAACTTCAGATTGGTACACGTGGGTTGCTAGTAGTGTTTATTACTCCTTGTAGTTGATACTAGTTGGTTTATTCGGTGGAAGATCATATGTTCAGATCTTTAATGATATTTATTACTTCTCTGATTATGAACATGAATATGTTTTGTGAGTAGTTATGTTTGTTCACGAGGACACGGGAGAAATCTTGTTATAAGTAATCATGTGAATTTGGTTTTCGTTTGATATTTTGATGAGATGTATGTTGTCTTTCCTCTAGTGGTGTTATGTAAACGTCGACTACATGATACTTCACCATGATTTGAGCCTAGGAGAAGACATTGAGAAGTACTCCCTCCGTCCGAGTTTATTATACCCCTGGACCAAAACGCATGTACGAAGACACCACAATTAGTTCCCCAAAATAAGCACCGCTCCTTCGGTTTTCTCGTGTGATTAACTGCAAAAGCAATGCTGCTCCGGCACAGCTTCCTGCATGCAGCCCCACGGTCAAATAATCTAGCCAATCCCTGATGCTTGGGAACCCTTTTGACAACCCCACACTCAATTAAGCTGCATGCAGCCCCGTCAGATAAAGAAAGGTACGAAGCATTTGCAGCACAAATCGATGCAGGGGCCTTTTAAAACCGGACGTGCTTCCTCCGTCCACGAGCCTAATAAACCTGAACGGAGGTAGTAATAAGTAGATGATGAGTTGCTAGAGTGATAGAAACTTAAATCTTAATTTATGCGTTGCTTCGTAAGGGGTTGATTTGAATCAACATGTTTCATGCTATGATTAGATTTATCTTAATTCTTCTTTCCTAGTTGTGGATACTGCGAGAGGGGTTAATCATAAGTGGAAGGCTTGTCCAGATAAGGATAACACCCAAGCACCGGTCCACCCACATATTAAATTATCAAAGTAACGAACGAGAATCATATGAGCATGATGAAAACTAACTTGACAGTAATTCTCATGTGTCCTCGGGAGCGCTTTGCTTTATATAAGAATTTGTCCAGACTTGTCATTTGCTACAAAAAGCATTGTGCCATCTTGCTGCACTTTAGCTACACTTTTAC